ACCACGTCACCCCCCCTCCCCGCTGCGTTATTTTGCCTCCTCGGCGCTCTGACTCGTGTTGTTTTTTTTTTTTGTCCCGCAGGTGTTTTCTTCCTGGCGTGGTGGCCACCTTGCGAAAGCTCGGGTGCGTGCTCGCCTTCTTTCTTTGTTGACGTCAAGCTCGCGTTCCGTCGGTCTGACGCCGCCGGGTGCTGTCGTTGTCTTGTCGCTCAGCAAGGCGGGCGCTCACCTGCGGCACCCGCGGCGTCTCCTCCTCGGCGCTCTGACTCGTGTTGTTTTTTTTTGTCCCGCAGGTGTTTTCTTCCTGGCGTGGTGGCCACCTTGCGAAAGCTCGGGTGCGTGCTCGCCTTCTTTCTTTGTTGACGTCAAGCTCGCGTTCCGTCGGTCTGACGCCGCCGGGTGCTGTCGTTGTCTTGTCGCTCAGCAAGGCGGGCGCTCACCTGCGGCACCCGCGGCGTCGACCTGGACTCCGCGGCGGCGGCGGCGACGGCGGGCGACGTCCTGCTGTCGTGTCCGCCCGACTGCGCCCGAGGCGGACCCTCCGTCTTCGGCACCGGCGTCTATGCCGCCGTCTCGTCCATTTGCGGCGCCGCCCTGCACAGGTACAAGTTGGGCGCGTGCGAGCCCCGGACTGAGTGTTGTCGTAGTCGGGAGAGAACGTTTCAGTCGCGCGTGGGACCCTGCAAATGATTTTGCACCGGCGTTCGAGTCACGCGTGTCAGGACCTGAGATCGGACGTTCCCATTTGCTCGCCCCCGAGCGAGTTTCGGCGGGACGTGCGCTCATCCATGCGTGGGGGGGGAACAAGAAAGACATTTGTCCGTTTTTGCTGTTGCGTCGAGGTGAAAACTTTCCACTTTTCTGCGCGCGAAAGCGCCTGCCGAGTTGTGCGGCGAAGGAGCATTTTTGGCGCTCCCGCTCCGGCGGCGCGCGTGCCCGCGTGTCTCATGTCCCGAAATTGAAGGCGGCATTCAGGAATGCTGCGGCCGAGGATTAAGCGGGCTCGGGTGACCTCACGTGCCGCGCTTGTGTGCAGCGGCGCCGTGGGACGCGCCGGCGGCGAGGTGGCGCTCAAGCGTCTGCCGGGCCGGCAGCGCTACGCCGCCTCCCTGGCCAACGGCGTCCAGTCGCGGGCCCTGTCGCACTGGAGCGCCTCCTTCGGCCTCGGCGGTAGGTGGAGAGCGCGAGCGAGGACGCCAGAAGGGACGCGCCCATGGTTTTTTTCATGATGCCCCCCCCCCCTCACCCCACCCCAGAGCCCGAGGACCGGAGGCCGCAGGAGCTGATTCGAAACTCCACTGCTACGACCAGGCCGGCCAAAAAAGCCGTCAAGAAGACGTCTGTCCAAAAAATCGGAAATAAAGGTAACCTTGTCTTTTCCGTCCCCCCTCCCCACCTGTCTCCTTGTGTCCCGTCCTGTCCCTTCCGTCCCATCCCATCACGACCGATCCTGCCCTGTCCTGTTTCATTCCAGACTGCCAGATGGACATCGCGCTGGTGATTGACAGCAGCTCCAACTTGGGGCGGCGGCGTTTCAACCTGCAGAAGAACTTTCTCACCAAACTGGTGGCCATGTTGAAAGTCGGCGTCAACGGTCCCCATGTGGGGCTCGTGCAGGCCAGGTTGCGCGCGTGCACACACACACACACACGCACACACACAGATAGAGTATGAATAGATGCAAGCTTGCACACACGCAGACACAATCGGATGTATGTTTGTGTGTGCAGTGACGTTCCCAAGACAGAATTCCTGCTCAGCAACTACACGCACCCCAAAGAGCTTCAGTTTGCCATCAAAGAGCTCAAACATCTCGGAGGGGACACCAACACAGGTACACACACACACACACACACACACACACACATACACGCACACCAGAGTCGATTGTTGTCGCCGTCCGTGACTCTCGGGGGAGACAAAGCAAGCCAGAACGCGGCGTTTGCGCGTCGGCAGGCAAGGCCGTCGCGCACGCGGCGGAGACGCTGTTCACCCAGCGGAGCGGCGCCAGGCGCGGTCACCCTCGGGTCATGCTGGTGCTGATCGACGGATGGCCGTCGGACGACCTGGAGCCGGCGGCCGCCGCCGCCCGCCGCGCGGGCGTCAACCTCTTCCTGGTGGCCGTCACCGCGCCCGCGCCCGACGAGCTCCCCGCCGTGCCCGACCGCGACTTTGCCAAGAAGGTCGGCGAGCCGGCCGAACGGGATCGCCCGGAGCCCCGCCGTCGTCCGGCTCGCTCACGTCCCGGTCGCCCGTTTCTTTCAGGCGGTGTGCAAAGACAACGGCTTCTTCGGCTATCGGATGCCGAGCTGGTTCGGGACCACCAAACACGTCAAACCTCTGGCGCAGAGGCTCTGCTCGCCGGACGCGCTTCTGTGCGGTACGACGCGGCGCCACGACCGTATCCGGCCGCTTCGACGGAACGCCGCCGCCGTGCTCTCAACGGTGTTTTTGGCGGCAGGTCGCACGTGCTACAATTCGGTCAACATCGGGTTCCTGATCGACGGCTCGTCCAGCGTGGGCGATCCCAACTTCCGGACGGTCCTGGACTTCCTGGTCGCCGTCGCCAGCAAGTTTGACATCTCCGACGTGGGCGCTCACGTGGGTGAGCGCGCCGCTCTCACGCGCTGATCTTTGCCCCGTCGGGGACCCGCTTTCGAGTTGTCTTCGCGCGCCGTCAGGCGGGGAGCGTGACAAACTCAACGGTCGGTCCTCTGGGACGCGCCGACAAAAGTCCGGCATGTCCAAAGTTTTGTCGGTCTCGCCGCATCGTGTGACATGTCCGACGGCGTCCTGGATCGGTTCTTCGGCATTGACCGACAGGAGGACGCCAGGAGGGCACACGAGACCGGCGCCACGTTCGCGAACCGCAAAGCTCCGAGCTGATGAGCAAACGCGGTGTCAATCGACATCTCCCTTACGATCGTTCGGTCCGAGTCACGGAACAATTTTCATCCGGTAATCCCGCCGTCGTGAATGACAAAAAGAAATCAATAAATTAAGGAGTCGTGTTGCTTGACGAGGCCATGATTTGCCGCAGCGAGGAGTGAAGCCACCGGCGGCCATCTTACGTTGCCCGAACTCCGGAGACCTCGCCGTTTCTCGATGATCATTTTTAGTGTCGGTGGCGTTGCGTCCGTTTGTCGCACGCCCGCCACGCACGCGACTGACGCCCGTCCACTGCGCCGCGTCGTGTCCAGGCGCCGTTCAGTTCACGTACGACCAGCGCCTGGAGTTCGGCCTGCGGCAGCACGCCAGCAAAGATGGCGTCCTGGCCGCCCTGAGAGCCATCCCCTACATGAGCGGCGGCACGGCCACGGGAAGCGCCATCGCTTACGCCGCCGAGAACCTCTTCAGGTGACTGACGCTTGCTGACCGGCGCCCGCGACGGGTCGCGCTCGCACCCCCGACGTGATTGACGTCTCCCGTGACAGGCCGACGGCGGCCGGACGCAACTTCCTGATCGTGGTGACTGACGGCCAGTCGTACGACAACGTGGGCGGACCCGCGCTGACGGCCCGGAATCAAGGTGTGTCTGTCTGTCTGTCCATACACGGGATGGTCACTAGGGGGTGCTAGAGTGCCACTCAAATAACCCTCCCTTCCCCAAAGTTTCACAATATTTGGGGTCTTGATATAAATGTGTTCTTATCGTCTTTTGACGAGTTTGTCCCGTTTGCCCCCGACCCCGACCCCCGTGCCAGGCATCGGCATCTTTTCGGTGGGCGTGGCCTGGGCGCCCATGGACGACCTGCGCGCGATGGCGTCGGAGCCCAAAGACGAGCACGTCTTCTTCAGCCGACACTTCGGCGGCCTGGAGGATCTCGTCGACGACCTCGTCCGCGCAATTTGTCGCGACTTCGACGTGAACAACTGAATGACGCGGGCCGGGTGATTGGCCGGTGACGTCACGCGTAAAGGCTTTCTCTTTTTTTGCATCTCTTTTGTCCTATTTTCGACTTTAACAAAGTGTAAAGTTGTCGCGAGCCAAAGACGTCTTTGTTCTTCTGTATTTATTTTGACCCGTTTACAAATAAAGACGTTTTTGCGATTTGGTCTTGATTGATCGAGCTATCTTGACGAGTCAGTCAGGCGAGAATGATGACGACGAAAGTCTGCTTCCTCCCCCCGATCGGGGATCATCCAAACAGTCCAGATAAAAAGGGATCGATCTTTACAGTGCACATACAAATTTCAAACGTCAAAAAATAATCAGAAATGTCGAGTGTGCGCGCGCGTGGGCGTGTCTTGGTTTTGCGTCGGCAGCGGACCGGAAGTCAGCACCAAGATGGCGGACGGCGTCCACAGCGGTCGCCACGGAAACGAGACGCAAACATTCCATCCAGGCAGGAACGCGGAGACGAGGTAAGCTGACGAACACGCGCGCTTTAAAAAAATCGTCATTGTGTTTCATATTCGAAACATTTGAACGCGTTCGTCACATCGCGGCCGTTTGATTCGGTACACCAAAGTTTCCACACTCTCGCGACAGGCTCCGCATATTCGAAACACACAACACAAACCCAAGAATAAGAATAAAACTCATGAAAATTTTGGATTCTGATTCACCTTTTTTTCCCCTCCTCCAGTAATTGAACGTACACACACAAACGCACGCGCGACCAAATCCACTGACACGGCTCATGAAATTCTCAACGATACTGAGAAGCTGTCAAACGAAAGACAATACACTCGTGTTGACCTCGAATTTCGAGTCACTCAGGTGAGCGTTGCAAGTTTCTCATTGGCGGTCCTGTGACGGTGAACCGAATCAAGTGCAAATGCAACTCGTGGCAGGTTGACAAGGAGGAAGAGGAGGAAGAGGAAGAGGAAGATGCCCAGGAAGGCGAAGAAAGGAGGCCAGGTGTCGGGGGAGGAGCTACCCCTTGGACGTCATCCAGACACACTCCAACAAGAGGAAGTCAACAGGAAGAGGGAGGAGCTTCTCGCACGCTTCCTCGAGGTAAGGAGCGGGGAGCAAGTGACGTCATTGTCACGATGACGTCAGGGCATGAGGATGATCGTTCCATGAAATGATGCGCAGTGATGATGAGAATGGGCGAAAAAAAAAAAAAAAACGAAGATGCGACACCATGACATCACGTCGCGTCCGCGGAATAACGTTGACTTTATTTCACGTCATTCTCGAAAGTACATGACGATATCACGACCTTGAGGCTGCTGAAGTGGGCGCGCCCGGAAGTCTTAAGTGGGCGGGTCTGTGGCCGCAGGTCAAAGTCCAGCGGGAGGAGCGGAACTCGCGCGTCAATCGGACGAAGCTCAACCACGCCTGGCGCGTCATCCTCCGCCAGGCGCTCTCGGAACAGCTGCGCGATGACATCGTCGTCTTGAGACGGAGCTTCGAGCGACAGCTGGACGGACTGGATGATGTCATCCAGGTGGTTAGCGTGCCGGCGGCTTGCCGGATAAAATGCGCGTCGCTTCCCGTTTGTCTGTTCCCGAGACCGCTTCCCGCTCGGTTTCTCGGCCCTTCCTGATTCTTGCTCACGTCACTTCCTGTTGGCTGCGCTCGTTTATGTCACCTGCCGAATTTGAACACGTCACTTCCTGTTTGTTTCTCCCATCCCCGACTTGATTTTTCATCCCGTTTGTTTCTCGTGTGACTCGCTGCTTTTTTGTTGGCAGAGATTGTCACGCGACCTGGAGGAGGCGGAGCGTCAGTGTTGCCGCGTAAGTCGCCTTCACCTGCATCAGGCCGAGCGTTTGCGGACTTTGCTGGATGAGCGCGTGACTTTTGTGCGGCGGCGCTGGGAGCAAAGTTTGCAAGAGGTCGGCCGAGGCTTCGCGGAAGAGAGGTCGGTAGGATGCCGCCATCGAAGCATCTTCTTCACGCCGACACGCGCGACCAAAACCGTTCGGCGTATATGGCGTCGTTTTGACGCAATGCTGGGAAATGCGGGTGAACGGGTCTGCCTGGCATTTCTAGGGGTGAGGGGTTCTATACTTGACTGTGGACTTCCCGCGTGGTGTTAGCGCAGTCACCCACGTAATAGCGAGTCTCGATTCATGCCTGCGCTAACTTCGCGCACCTTTTCGGGCACCGCATTTGTCTTTGGATTCTTTTCTAGGGTCAACACCTCTTGAAATGACTCATTCGTGGGAAGGGTGCGTCGTTTGCAGAGTTGCGAGTGTCACTTTGAGTTGAACGACTTGGACTCAAACACACACGGCGTACACAATCGGCTTGTCGAGGACAAACGCGGTCGAAAGCGGATGGCGTGCTAACACGCCGAGGTCCCACCTGCAGAGAGAAGATGGCGGCGAAGTCCCAGGATCAGCGCCGGGACTTGGAGGAGGCAGCGTCCACGATGCGGCGGCGCCACAACGACGTCATGCGCGAAGTCCACGCCGCGTACGGCGACGTCATCGCGGCCCTCCGCGACGCTCAGCGGGAGCGGGTACGTCGCCGATCTCGCTCGCCGTCTCGGTTTCGAGCGGCTCGTTTGAAAGCCGGCGTTGCCGCGTCCCGCCGACAGGTGGCGGCGCTGCGCGGCGCCGACGAGGCCAACCGGGAAGAGAAACTGCGCCAGAGGCGGGAAGCGGAACCGGAAACGAAACAGGAAGTGGAGCAGGGGCGCCACCCGGGCCGACTTCTGATGTCCAGAAACCAAAAACTGATCAATGACACCGGCGAGGATGTGAGGAGAGTGCGCAGGCTGCAGGTGACACCGAAGCCACCATTTTGTTTGTAGCGGGGGGCCATCGGCGTAACATCTGATCTCCAGGCCGCGAGGATGTGAGGAGAGTGCGCAGGCTGCAGGTGACGCCAAAGCCACCATTTTGTTTGTAGCGGGGGCCGTCGGCGTAACATCTCATCTCCAGGCCTCCGTCGCTGACCTGCGCGCGAAGCTGAGCGCTTTCCAGGCGGAAACGGGGGCCGAGGCCGACATCTTGACCAAGGCCGGCGTGGATGTCGCGGCGAAGACGCGCCGCCTCGGCCACCACCTGACCGGAGCTCGCCAGGCGTCCAGGAAACGCCTGGCCGCGCTGGCGCTGCGGACGGATTCGGCCACGCGCAAGCTGAAGGCGGTCGTCGCCAAGGTGGGCGGACTGCGGTCAGAGATGAGGCGGCCGCGTCGCTGACGGACGTTGTGTCCGCAGGGCGAGAACGTTTTGCGCGCCGCTTCTTTGTGCGGCAAGCTCGAGCAAGCCACGACTTCTTGGCCGCACGGTGAGGACGACGAGCGGCCGGGAGCATCGCCGCCGAGCAAGGTGAGTGTTCAACCGCCGAGGCGTCGTCGTGGCAACGGGTAAAAAGAATCAACAAAAAACGTACGGCACGTTGAGGACGTGACAAGATATTGTCAATTGAAAGTGACCGATTGTGATGTCTGATGACGAAACGACACACTGTCAGCTGACTCAATATTATGAAAATTCATATTTCAATATTTCAACTCGACACCTCGTTCATTTCAACGTAAACATACAACAGTGGCCTGGACGGAACGAAACAGAAGAAAGAAAGCGTCAGGAACTGAATTGTCAAAGGGGTGCACAGAGGGCGGGGCCAACGGGCTGGGCATGCCAGGCGACCCTCTGAGGGCGGGGCATTCACCCCTTAGTGGTTTCATGTGGGGGGTGGGGGGGGGGCTCATCCATCCATCCATGTTGCATTCATTAACGGGAAGATTGTTGTCCTTTTTCTTCATGTCCGCAACGCGCCGCCTGCGTGCGCAGACGCTCCCCGACGTCCATCGGCTGATTTACCGCCTCAACTGGGCTCTGCTGCGGCAAGACGCGCTGGCCCAACGCGAGGACGAGTTGCGCCGCGACAACCATCGGCTCAGACTTCTGCTACGCCGCCGCCTGGAAGGCGCGGCGTTCGGAGGAGTCCCCGCCCTCCTCGCCGTCAAGGCCGCGCCCACCGCAGACGGCCCCGCCCTCGCAACGACGCCCCACAACATCATCGAGGCCGGCGTCGTCTTCGGGAACTCGCTTTCGTAACGGGCGGGCGCGAGGCGGGTTTGGCCGCACGGTCCTCTCAATGAAACCGAACGCCGATTGGAAGACTAGAAAAAATACTTTTATTGTGGTCGTCATGCAGGACACCGACAGGAAGTAGTAACACGTCACGTGGTCAACGTCAGCTGCTTGGCGCACCATCAATCCCTTAAGTTAAAAAAACAAAACCAAAAAAAAAAAAAAAAAAACAAGCCAATCGGGAGGCGGCGCGCGGCGGGCTCCGGGAGGCCTCTGATGGGACGCTCCCTCCCGCCTCGTGAGAAAGCGTGCTCGTGGCGGCAGTGAGCGACGTGCCGCGGCTCAATGCTACGTGGTCTACCTAGCAACCAAGGGGGGGGAAAAATCTCCAATAAATACAAATTTCAATGAGTTGGCAGCTACTTCCTTGACTTTTTGACAGAGCGGTGAGACTCCTCCCCCCTCCTGAAAGTTGTCATGTCGTCACAAGAGCTCAGGATGTCGACTTGAGTTCGGATTGGCCGGCCGCCGCCGAGGTCCTCGGTCCCGCATTGATCGATGATGGCATCGCACCGAGCACGTCGTGTCTGAACGGGGTGGGGGCGTGATCGCCGTCCCGAGTCCCCCCCACCCCCCCGCCATCACCGATCGGGATCGATCATTTCCATTATGTCATCACACAAACATTAAAAAGCCGACGATCGCTCGCGACATCGGTGACTGAACGGAGACCTCCGATGGGCTGAATCCTTGGGATGGGCTGAATCCTTGGACCCCCCCCCCCCCCGCCCCCGACAAAATTGTCGATGCGCTCCGGACCCTTTGGTGACAAAACCTGAACCGTCGTCATCCTTGTCAGTGAAGAGAGCCTGAGGTCCACCTCCGACGGGGGCGTTGGTGGCGTGGGGGGAGGGGCTTTAGTGTCACGTGATCTGATGAGGTCATCGGTCGGCTGCCCGTGTCGGCCTACGGGCGGCGCGTGCGGGGCAAGCGATCGGCATCCCGTGTCTGCCGGCGGACCCGGCGAGGGTCCCCTGCGAGTGGGCGGGCGGGGGGGCGGCCGCCCTACACGTAAACCCTGGCGAGGGCGTCGGCTCCGGCCGAGGCGATGTAGGCCTTGGAGGGGTGAAAGGTCACGTCGTAGATGGCCTCGTCGCTCTTCTTGCGGTGCGCCGTGATCTCCTGCACGCACGTCTTGGAGTCCAGATTCCACAAGCGCAGCGAGCAGTCGTGACCTGGAAGGGGCGGCGAGCGCAGCCGTCAATCCGTCGCCCCCCCCCGCCCAACTTTCAGAGCGACGGGTCCACTTACTGCCGGACATCAAGTAGATCCCGTTGGAATCCACCGCCAGGCTGGTCACGGCGTCCAGGTGGGCCACCATGGCGTGGATCACCTTCCCTGCGCGCAAACAAAACGCGACGAAAGAAATCGCGGATGATTCGTCGTCGAGAGGCGAGCGTTTTCGCTCTCCGAATTGCGCGACGACCAAAACGAAGTAGCCCTGAATTGAGGCCGAGCGCGCAAGCGGCGTCCGCGCGGGTCTCTCGTTACCTGACTTGTTGTCGAAGAACTTGATGTTTCGGTCCTCGTGCGCCGTGATGGTGACGGGCAGCGTCGGGTGACTCACCACCTTGTAGATGTGATGGCAGCCGGGACGGCCTGCGCGCCACAGCGACAAGTCGTGTCACGCCGGGGGACAAAATGGCCGCTTTGCGCGCTCACGAAGTGTCGACGGAATGACGTTTGGCGACGACGCTTACTTCCTTCGCCTTGGCCCTTCAGCACCAGCGCGCTCTGGGACGTCTCCAGGTCGTACAGCACCACGTCGCCGCTGTCGAACGAAGCCACCATGTGGGCGGGGTCGCAGCCGTTGAAGTCCACCGAGGTGGGGGTGCCGTGCTCTGCGCGCGCACAAAGCCGTCATGTTGGGGACGGGCGGGGTTGTCCGAGGGCGCGCGGCGCTGCTGACCTGCGGCGGCGTTGAAAGTGCTGACGCAGGGGTTCTCCTCGTCGGGGTTCCACAGTTTGACGGTGCCGTCGGCCGAGCAGGACAGGAGGCGGTTCTTGACGCCGCTGTACGCCAGAGCCCACACGGCGTCCGAGTGGCCCCTCCACGTCCCGGCCAGCGTGCGGGCCTCTGGCGGCGGCGAGACACGGTCCGATTTGGAAGGCGTTCGCTCGAGAAACGAGACTCGCGGCGTCGCAGCCTGTTCGCGGCGTCTGCCATCGGAACCCCGCGCCGAAATCGCTTTGGAAGCTCAACATCCTCGGACGCCATCGCGCCGCGTCGAGCGCCGGAAGGGGACGTACGCGGTTCGGCGCATCCGCGCGACGTACCGTACGTGTCGTAAGGGTCCACGTCGGAGCCGGGAACGTTCCAGCGCTGGATGGTGGCGTCGGCGCTGCCGCTGAAGCACTGCTCGCCGTCGGGCGTCACGGCCAGCGACAGCACGGGGCCGCTAGAGGGACACACGGCAAGGTTAGGCCGGAGAGCGGCCCG